AAAAAAACCCAAAGTTACATTTATAAGAAAATACTCTCTCTTGGGTTCCTAGGACCATCTAATCAGCTGACGGAAATCATCACAGTTCTTGTGTCCCGTAATACTTTCCTCTGTTTATGCTTACTTTAACATCTGCTGTCAAGATTAATGCATTTATTATTTTCTAACTTACCGCTTTCTGAGTTATTGTCTCTGAGCAGTTTCTGTATGTATAAATATGCCAGTCCTAGAGCTCTTGGGTATTCCTGTATCCAAATACCTCCCAGTCTTCAACGTATTTCTCCTCTGCGCCACCCACGGAGCTATTGCTCAGGCGTGCGGGGAATAAACAACTCGACTGGGGTCACACAGAAACTTTGTGGTAGACCAAGAACTTGAACCCTGGCTTCCTCAGCGCCCCAGCTACTCTTTTTTCTTACTTTTTAAGTTCACTTTTCTTACTGCAGAAATCAAATGCGCACCACTACTTGCTTAGTCATTAGCATGGTGTGTGTTACACAAAGATGTGAGAGTATATTCTGTACCCCTGGGGTCTGTGGGACACATTTGTATGACAGTCAGCGGTTTGGAAGCTGAAGGTGCAGTGGGGCTCAGGACTGAGTGGTCTGGTACTGCCTGGGGTCTGGGCTGCCCCAGCCTGCCTCTGGGGCATTTGGAGTCTATGAACAGGCTGGCCAGGGGAGGGATGGAGCCACTATCCCTGGAGGGATTTAGAAAACATGTAGACGTGGCACTTGGGGACATGGTTTAGTGGTGGACTTGGCAGTGTTAGGTTTTCAGTTGGACTCGATAATCTTAAAGGTCTTTTCCAACCTAAATGATTCTATGATTTCTGTGTTAGAGGGTGCCCACGTTGTGGTCTGCATGGGAGACAGGATGTGTTTCAGCGTGGGTTGACAGATTGTGTCTGTATTTTGCTGTCATTCTGGAGTTTGTCAGGAAGCCAGGGGCTGATAGTCTGTTGAGTGAGCAATGGAGGGATGGAGGATCCTCTTTCATCTTTTCAGCCTCAACATAGAGCGTTTGGCCTCTGAACATGTGTAATGCTGTTTCTATCTATTCTCTCATGTGCGGAAACAGCGTGGTATTTTATGACTAGAAAAAAGCAGGCAAATTCAGACATCTGTGTTTCCAATGTATACAATTTGGCATCTATTTATCCTTCACTTCAGTAAAATACAAAGTGATTACGTTGATCTTTGTTACCTTTTTAGAAAGTTGTCTGTAAGCATGTATTTTCAGAATCTGCATTATGCCTGTGTGACAGCTTGGTACTACTTACTGATTATACACTTTGTAGCTTTGCTCAAATATTGCCTGAGTTGGTTTCCAGATATTTTCAAAGGGTTTATGAAAGCTTAATATTGCTGTAGTCTCTGTACATGTATGTCTGCATGGAACCGATTATGATTCATTCTTCTAGAGGAGTTTTCAAAGTTAGCACGTTACATCCTATTCATGCATTGCAGCTAGTTCTTCAGTGTGCTGCGTCATGCTTATTATCTTGTATGCTTTACAGTGTTGCTGTGCGTAGTCTTTGGTTCTGCTCGGCAGTGAATTGACCATACGATTTTAGTCTCACCTTTGATTGTTTTCCTGTTGGATCTGTCCCATCAGCAGTTTATGTTAGTTTTAAAGGTAGACAATGGTGCTTTGGGTGACTTGCCTAAATCAACACTTCCTCTGGGATGAAATAAAGCATAGAAAAAAGCCCGTATACATCTTTGAAGGCAAAGCCTCAGCCTTGCTGAACTGTCATCACTCCATTGACTGCAGTAGAACAAGGGCAGGTTTAGACCAGCTGCAGCTGTCCCTAGCAAAGCACAGAGCTTGGCTTTTAATAACTTCTGCAGCTTCAGTTTTCATCCATGCCTTCAGAAGTAAGCAAGACTTGCAAGTGAAATCATAGTCTGGTTAACAACTAGACAGTTGCCAGAGAAAGACAACAGAGTGAGCTTCCAGACTAAGTAACTTTCTTCATGACAGTGGTGTATCTTGCTCAGGCTGTTTTCCAGTGCTTTGGGTTTCTGTGGTCACTTCAGAAAAAGGAGCATCAAATTGGGTAAAATTTGCCAAGTGAAACAATGCTTTAGTCTTAGAAATGGAAAATAAGGAACTACTTTTACACTGAATCTATTAAAGTATATCCTTTCTTTTCCCAGTAACATAGTCAGCTTCAAGGTGTGGCAGCACTCAGCTGTTCAGGAGGTGGAACAGTCTTGTGGGCCCATCTAGAGCCGTGCTATTTCCACCTGAGCAAAAAACACAGCACAGTCATGCCAACTAACAAATATGAGATACACATCTTTGGTTTGCTTACAATTAAACAAAATCTTCCGCACACGCAATTTGTTCTTAACTGTGTAACTACGTTGGTGATTGCCTTTACAGAGTAGCTTCTATTTTTTAATTTGAGCTGCTTTTATGTTCTAATGTAAAACTTGAACTCCCCATTGGATTCAATATGTTTGTCTTCAAAAGAACTCCTATAGCATTTGGATTATTTGTTCCCATGCTCAGGAATTATGCTTGGGAAGCAAATGGCAAGATAGGATTCTTGTGTTGAAGAGATTAGAAGTTAACGTAGAGAGAGGCAAAATCAAGCTATGAAGAAATACTTTAGGGGAGAATTAGAGTATTGGTGGTTAATGAGTAAAGAACAAAAAGAAAATAAAAGAGGTCTTGCATAAACTGACCTGCCAATGAGGTTAGGAGGCAAAGGTGGCTGAAGAGGAGTGAGCAGCTGCTCTGGGTGTGAGAGAAAGATAGAAGGCTGAGAAAATAATAGTGGAGACAATGGCACGGGAGGAGCTGGAGGGGCAGCAAAAATGTAGGTGGTGTGAAAAACATATGAAGTATTGTAAGTGAGAAGAAGCTTTTTAGATTTGCAGTAATAACAGGAAACCACTGGAGAAATTCAGAGAAGATTTTAGCAGCTCACTTTAAGGTAGAGTGGAGGAGAAGAGTCTAGCGGTGTGAAAGCTGGATAAAGAAATGCTGGGACAGTCAAGATGGTGAAGCAGTAATGCAGAGTTTTAGCAATAAGGAAAGTGCAGAGCTTGGAGCTATTGAGAAGAGAGATAGGACATACATAGACCTGAGTTTATTGTTTAGTTTTGCAGGTTGTTTGTAAAACTGATACTGTAAACACCTGTAAGTTTTGTTTTATCTTCAAAGCAAACAGTTTTTACGCAGAGTCCTCCTGCCTTAAATAGTCAAAACAAGTTTTTGTTTGCTTGTTTTACTGAATCTACCATTTTCATGTGAAATCCAGCAAATGTTCAGAAGGTAAAGTAATACATGTATCAAAGGAGAACTGTCTCTATTGTTTGCTTCTTTATGGTACGGATTATTGTATAGATCAGAAGTATGTAGTACGTACAGTACTAGGTTTGAGATTCAAATGATCAACCTAGAAACTTGGCAGTGTTGTCAGCTGTTTCAGTAAAACCAAGTACAGAAACCAACTCGAGTTTCTTATCCTGTTGGCCAGAGAAGCTGGGACGTTTCCTGAAGGTGAAGCACTTGAGCTTGGAGGGAGGAAAGAGTGCCAACTACTGCAGTGAATGTCATGGGCTTGGAGGCATGAAGAGTGTACTAGGGGGGAAAAAAGTACATGTTGAAAGAACAGTGAATTGCAACTTCTCAGAAAATGTTGAGACAGATGACTTTACTCGAGTAGAGATAGGATGGGGAGATACCATGGCTCAAATGATAGTACATTCACCATGTATTCCCAGAAAAAGGAGAGGGATGTATTAAACAAATCTATCCGATGAATGTATTTTGAAAGGTATCTGGAGTTCAAAAACTTCATGTAGCCCAGATAAACAGTTTCTTCTGAATTCTGCATTGCTGAGAAAGATGATCTTCTTGGAGTCCTTAAGAAGGCAATGTTGACTGCTGCCACTTTTCCATGGGTTACCGATATTCAAAGACATAACTTCCCAGGGTTATTCTTGGGAACCAAGCATATTCTGGGGATGTGACATGCTCTTCTGAAGTACAGAGTACCTCAGAGCCCTTGCTGGCTTCAATTGCTTATCAGCACTCATGAAGCACAAAGAGCATCCAAACCTGTAAAGTACAATAAGCAGTGAAAGTGTTTGACTTGTGTTTTTTCCTCCAATATCAGACTGTTTTCTAGAACTCAAGGGAGTATTATTACTTAAGTTCGTTAAATACAATTTAAGCAAACCTATCACATCTCATCCTAACACTGCTTTTTTGGACTATGACTGGATGTAATCTAATATAGGAGAGGAAAAGAAGTGATTTAAAATTTTTTTTTACTTTACTCTTAGATTTTATTTCTATACATAGTTCTGTAAACTGATCTGTTTCCCTTATTGTTGTTGTTCCTCTGGTAGAAAGCTACATGAGAGTCTAAAGCTTTTGGGAATATGCATGAATAAAATAGGGTAATATCCAAATTTGTAGATTTTGAGATTGAGGCTTGGTGCTTAAACCCAAAGGTCTCTGTCTCCATCTGTTGGAACGAGAAGGGCATAGCCCCAATGGCTGCTTGTTTGGACTCATCACAATGAAAGTGTAATTTCGTTTTAACTGTATCTTCTTCCACTACTTTCAGTCTAACCAACATTAGCAACAGCAGCATCTTGACGGTCTGTCATGCCATGGGGGCAGAAAGTTTGTCTTCACTGGAAAATAACAATTGTGGCAAGACCTCTTAAGGTGCTCAAACATAGGTTCTGTTTCCTTAAAGACAGGCTGAAGTACTTGGAAATAGTGTGATGTAAATCACTTAGGATCCAGTCCAAATCCCTTCGAAATCAGAGGGATCACTGTCTGACCTCAGCAAGAATCAGATCTGGGCCTTAGAAATAGGAGAAGTTTCTGTCCTACTTTAACCAAACTACACGCTGTACGTCCCTACCAGGGGCTTGTGTGTGGAGAGAGGTGTGGTCAGAAGCTGGTATGTCAGAATTTTCCTCCTTGGAGACATGTCCCTCCTGGCCCCTAGAGCTTGTTCACTGGAGAGTCCTCTACCTCCACCTCTCCTGATGTGTGAGGAGTCACACCAGGGACACCTCAGGATTTACCAGGAACTGGGCAACCCTTTGCAATGTCTGCATGTCCTCTGCCTACTCGTGGAGGAGTCCCACCTCTGACCTTTCACTGCTGCTTCAGTAGGACAAGGATGACGTTGCATGCTGCATTGGTATAGAAGGGAGTTTTCTTTGTCAGTCTGTTGGAACCTAATTCCATTATTTGGATAAAATGTGTTTATAAATGTTAACAGAATATGTCATAATATTTTTCTGGTCATATGACAAAGAGAATGTACTATTTATAAATGTTGGGACAGGTTCTTTTCTTCCAGTGATACTGATAAAGTTACATTCATGTAAAAGGCAAAGAAAGTGGGAGAAGTAGTATGCTCGTTGAGCTTTTGGATATCTTTATATCACATTAGGATATTGAAAACGTTCCAGTGATAAAAAGGATTCTAGTAAATGCCTGAAAGCAAACATTACTCTTTGAAGGATTAAAGGACAGGTTTATGACAGTTTCCCAAAATGCATCTGGGCACCAACTAGGATTTTCAAGGATCTTCATCTTATGTAGGAGCAATTTGCTTGGACGCTGTGGGAAATTATGAACCATGTCTCTGTCTTTATGTACTTAAACACCTATAAAGATTGTCTCTGTATTGGTTCAGTAAGAAAACTTCAGCCTAGTAATTATTTGATTATGAAGCTACCTTGAAATCAACTGTATTGGTCATCTAACTCAACATCACTAGGTATCTGGGAATTTCAGTTTGGCAGGCTAAACCTGTTTGCTCCTGTGTGTTATCTTTTGCTGAGTGTTTTTTGTCTTCTGTAAGAGAGCTTGCTCTTGCTGCTGTGTGGCAGCAGATATGCTGGTGATGTGGCCATTCCAGGCAGTAGGTTGCTCACTGCCGTAGATCCTGACAGTAGGTGCATGTCAGAGGAGTCCCATAGGGCTAGCACAGCAGCAGCAGCCGCCTTTGCAGGCTGCCTGGTTGTTTCTTCTTCTGATATATAAAGGATATTCATCCTTTGAGATTCATCCTCCTTTTGAGCTGTTGCTGTTTGGTTTTAATAGTAGAAATGAGCCCTACTTGGACTGGCGAGGAGTTAGTATGCTTTTGCTTAGAGCTGCAGACTCTCCCTGTGTCCCTTGTCATTCTAATCAGCATTTAAAGAAGTCAAGGCTCAAGGAGCATTGCTCCAATGGTGCCCAATGCCTTGTCTTGGACTTGCTAACTGTTGAGGAAGAGTCTGTCGTTTGAAATGGTAAAAGTTTTCAGTACTATCTTAAACAGTTATACAGCACTTTTTGCTTCTTTGTTGTATGATACTGTAAGCGTCTTATCCTATCTCAGCCTGAGTTTTAGAGTTAATCCAGCAGAATTTACCTGGGGACTGATTTATTTTGGCTTTTCATGAATTTAAGAGTACATTTGGCCTTGGAAAGGACAATGTTCTCTTTGACAGGTGTTTGGAACTTCCTGGTTTAATAGAGTTTTAATGTAGTGCTCATTAGGTTAATTAACCCTCTGCCTTTGATTAAGCCACTCAGTGCATATAAGCTCATATCGCTTCCAAGGGAAGCTTTGTTTCTGTTAGCAAATGAACACCAGGCTTTCAGACTTACTATCAGGTTATTCTAGACTAGCACGCCTACCTTAAATACATTGTTTTCATATAAAACCATCAATAAAAACTCATAAAGCCATCCCTTCGTTATCTGAGACATTGAACAGTCTGTTGCAAGGTTGTCAAAAGAAGGTTTGAGATGGCACGTTTAAAACAAAGATGACGCTTTTCCATGTATTGTGTGCAGCTAGGCTAGTTGATACTGCCCCAGCTCTTCTTCAGAGGAGGGAATGTTTTCTCTGGGCTGACTATATGCTTGGTAGTATTTTTATTCCTCATATAGATTTCAAAACAAAACAAAGCAGTTGTTGCTTAGCTACCCCTCTGGAGTGATGGTCTCTCACTGTTTTGCAACTCTCTAATATCAAAGTTGCATTTTTCGCTTTTTAGAATCTATTTTTACTGGCTGGTGTTTTACAAAGACACTTCTGGAACTTTTTCATCTGCTGGAGTGGGATGGCTGCGTACTGCTGGCTTAAAACTACAGCAAGGAGCCTGACTGGGGGGTCTGGGAAAGGTCTCACACCAGGAACCCTACAGCAACGTAAAAACAAGTTCACTGTAGGTTCAGGGGGTAATACTCTGATGAAATCCCTTGCTTGGGGTGAAAGGGTCTGTATTTCTTTGCCGTTACCACATGGCTCTGTGTTCAGGACAGATTAATTTTGGATGAGGATAAATACTAGGAAGCAGAATATCTGACTCCCATCTTCTTCCAGACTTTTTGACTAAGAAGGTTTAAATTGCTGTTTTGGAGTCATGATACTAACTACTGCAGAGCACAGCAAAATGGAGCCAGTTCAACCATTCATGCAGTCAGAAATGAATCTGAAAAAATATCTGAATTATTGCCGTTGAAGGAAAGAAGGCATGCCTACTGCCCGCAGCTTGTACCCTTACCCTTTTTATGCCACACTGGGGCATAAGGGAAGAACAGAAGTTTCCTTAATGAAGACTATCATTGTAGAGAAAAAGTCTCCATGTGGTTAAAGACTCTGGATTCTGTTTGCACCAAAATGAGGAAAATACTTGGCCGAGCAGTGTTACGTGTTGGTTACTGTGACCTGGAGGAAGAGCTCTCCAGGGCTCCTGCAAGTGGAGTCAGTCTGAGGCTGTACCTGTGTGCTTTGACTACTGAGCTGTGTCTCTTTGCCTCCTGCTCGCTTTCCTCAATGGCATCCCAAGCGGTGGTCAGCCATACTTGCAGAACTAGCCTGGTCATCTTAAATACAGCCTGTTTCCCCTACTAGGTACGGCTGACAGATCCTGGCACATTTCTATTAGCCCTGACAAGGCTGAATTTACAGCCTTTAGCCACAATGCCACTTTCTGGCATTGTTAGAGAAATCAGAGTCTGTTCCCATAAAGCTTGTTACTTGACAGCATTTATGTTGCATGACTAATACAGCAATGGCAGCAATTTGCAATTAGCTGTGTGTCTCTCCTCGCCGCCCTGCCACGTGCCCCAGAGGGTACGTGTCTGTCTAAGCCTGACCTGCTTCCTTTTACATTTTTCTTTCTCTGTAATGTATTTTTCTGAGCTCACAGAGGGAATCGTGTGACTTGGATAACTAAATGGTTGAATGAAAGCTGCAGGACTTTAGATCATCAGTCGAGATCCGACTGTGCTGCAAAGTCACAGTCATCTCCTGGCTCATTAAGAGTAACGTGTAATAAGCCGATGGACTCGGAGGAGTTCCTAGAAGGCAGGTTATCCACCCCTGCCCTGCTGGCTGTGTGCTGGGAGCTTCAGCAGAGAGGGCCACAGCTGAATACGTGAACACGCGTGGTGAAGAAAAGCCCCGCTCATCCACGGAGCTGGCCACTTTCAGGGAAGATTGGGGCGTTTTGCCAGAGCTGTGCCGGGGACCTGGCACTGCCAAGCACTGTTTGGTACTTGACAGAAAAAGCCAGTTTCTAGTCTGGAAATGCGTGCGAGTACCCTGCTCCCTGGCAGCAGGAAAGGTATCCCTGCTCCTTCCATGGAAGGTATCTGTCTCGTGGCTGCAAGGCATCCTCACCAGCGCCCAGAGGAGTGTGACATTATTGGAACCAGTTTGAAGCCCGTGTAATAAGCTATATATAATCTAGTTCATTCCCTTTGACTCCGCTTTCACACATCAAAAAAGACCTGGTGAGGCTAGATGATCTGGTAACTCTGTCTGGAAAGAAGGATAGTTGAGTGAGTTCCAGGAACAAGGGACCCTATGCTAGTGCCGGAGGGAGAGGGACGGAGGTGGGTGAACCGGCGTCTCCGATTCCTGCCTGCCCCTTTGCGGGAGCAGCACTGACACGTCTCCCTTCCCCCAGCTGAGGCCGAGATTTCAGTGAATCAAAGCTATGGAGTAGAGTTGAGTCAGAGCCAAGGAAAGGCTCTGGCTCAAATCCACCAGCTAAAAATGAGCAAAGCTTTTGAGCCTCACTGGAATCTCTCAAAAAACAAACAAACAAACAAAAATCCTTCTCCAGATCCTTGTTGTCTTTTTTCCTTCTTTTGGCAAAATCATTCATTGCATTTCAATCTATTTTCCAGATATTTCTCTTCTCTTTTACCTTCTTATTATACATGTAAATGTACCCCAGTACGTATGTGTATTTTAGATGTTTTCAGCCAGTTGTGGAAAGTGTTCTTTTTGTGGTGTTTTCATTGAGACAATCAGGGGCAAAGTTCTTGTGGCAGTGCCAGGTCTAATACCACAGGAAGAGCTGTGTCCGCTGGAAATACCAGAGCGAGTACAGAACCCACAGTATTTTCTAAAAACACAGAATGGTTTTGAAAGCAAGTCAAATACTGCAAAGTCAGCTCAGATTATTATTTTGTCTCAAATTGTTTATTTGGCTTTGTTTTGGTTTTTAGAGGGATGCGGAGGAACATAGCTTACGTTAAATCTGGTTTTGCCGCTATATCCTTCCAGTTACATGTGCTACCGTAAAGTAATGGAAATGTCACGATTGCATCATTTATAGTCCTTTAGAGATACACAGTTCAGTCAACAGCCAGCTCTACCTTGAGGTTTTGTTGACACTGTCTCTTTTTGTTTTTGCAGTCTTTATACTCCAGTGGCATTCAAAAATACAGCTATGGCCCTGGTTTCTGCAGGCTGGTATCTCTGAATGAGTCCTACCCAGATAAAGTGTACTACTAGGTGCACAAGTGCTTGCAGGAGCAAGGGTCCCGATGTGTAAAAAACATGTCATGAGTAAGTAACCTTATAGAGAGTGGAGTGAGGAGTATATCTCTGGCAGTAAAATGAATGCAGTTCTACCCAGTCAACGGCATAGCATGGCAATGTTTTTGTTTTCCTCCTGCACTTTCAGAAGTAGTTTGGCAAACACTAATTTGATCTTTTAATTAATCAGGGCTATTCAAGACCACAAG